ATGTGGGACTCGATCCCTGGACGCTGGTATCATGACCTGAGCCGAAGGCAGTCGCTTAACCAACTGAGCCACCCAGGCGCCCTATACTTCTTTTTTTCATTGCTAGATTTGGTTTGCTAATATTTTGTTAAGGATTTTTGCATCTAAATTCCTGAGAGATATTGGCATATAGTTTTTTTGCTTTTGTACTCTTTTTGTCTGGTTTTGGTATTAGGGTAATACTAGCCTCATAAAATGAATTGGGAAATATTCTCTCTTCTCTTTTCTGGAAGAGATTGTGTAAGATTGGTGTTGATTTTTTAAATGCTTGGTAGAATTCCCCAGTGAAATTATCTGGGCCTGGAGATTTCCTTTTTGGGAACTTTTAAATTATGAATTAAAAATGTTTTAATGGTTATGAGACTATTCAGATTATCTGTTTCATCTTTTTTTGATGATTCCCATATTTTTATCTATTTCATTTTGAGTTTTGGTAGTTCATAGTTTTTAAGGAATTAGTCCATTTCTTCTGAGTTCTTGAATTTATGAGCATAAAGTCATTTATAGCATTCCCTTATTCTTTTAATGGCTGCAGAATTTGTGGTGCTCTCCATTTCATTCCTGATATTGGTGACTTATGTCTTCTTTCTTTTTATTACTGTGAACCTTGCTAGAGTTTTATCAATTTTAGATTTTTTTCAAAAGAGCTATCTTTTTGTTTTATTGATTTTTCTCTGTTTTTCTGTTTTCAATTTTGTTAATTTATGCTCTTTATTATTCCTTCCCCTTATGCTTGCTTTGGGTTTACTTTGCTCTTCTTTTTCTAATTTCTTGAGTTAGGGACTTAGATTATTGATTTGAGACTTTCCTCCTCTCTTTCTCTTCTTTTTTTTTTTTGGGTGGGCAGCAAAGCAAAGTTTATTGAGATAGTAAAGTGATAGTACAAAGCTCCTAAAGAGGGAGGGGACCCCAGAGGGTTGCCCGAGACTTTCCCTCCTTTCTAACGTAAGCATTTTGTGCCATAAATTTCCCTCTCAGCACTGCTTTGGCTGTATCCTACATATTTTAATAGGTTGAATTTTCATTTTCATTCAGTTCTGCATATTTTTAAAATTTCCTTTGAGAGTTCTTGTGAACCATGGATTGTTTAGAAATGTGTTGTTTAATTTCCAAGTGTTTGAGGATTTTCCTTATTGATTTCTAGTTTAATTCCATTATGGTCAGAGAACATACTCTATATGACTTCCAATTCTTTTAAATTTGTTGAGGTTTGTTTTATGATCCAAATGTGCTCTCTTTGTGAATGTTCCATGGGTTCTTGAAAAACATATTCTGATGTAGTTGGGTGGAATGAGGTGAGTAATGGAAATGAGTAAACTAGATATGTATAATCTACAAGTGCACATTGAATATAATTGACTTTTTCTTTCTTTTTTGGCAGAATTGCCCCTGCCTTACTAAGACAGGCATCATATGGCACCATTAAAATTGGCATTTACCAAAGCTTGAAGAGATTATTTGTAGAACGTTTAGAAGGTCAGTATACACTCATTCTCTTTTAGGGTAATACTCAGAGGGATTATTGAAATCATGCTTACTGAGAAGCATGCATCATGGGATGCCTGAGAGTGGGTGACAGTCATTGCAAGGACAAAGCAAGGTCCTACTGACTTGGGATTAATCCTTGCAGAGGTGATATATGGGATAGAGGGACCTGCTCTTTAAGTTTGTCCCTTTTCCTATCAAAGAAAAAAAAAAAGGTTTCTGCTCATCACAGAGGGAACATGAGTAAGTTTGTCCAGAAAATTAATGCTGTCCTCATCAACAAAAGGACTTCAGCTATAAGCAATTCTCTAGCTGCCAATTTTGATAAGCTTTTGTTAGATGGAGTAATTTTAGACTGTTCTAGATTCTGTTATACTGTGGCCACCTTACCCACATTCAGCATTATCATATGTCTCTAAATGTGCTGCTGCAGTGTTTCCAGCTTGATACCGTACTTAATGGTTATTTTACCACAGGCCTAGGGCTTTTGCATGGTTGGGGATAGCTGGAGAGCCTTTTGATTAGTAATGTCTTTGAATTACTTTATTGTCCTAAATTGACTTTTTCTGGAGCCTCTTTGAGGATTCGGAAGGGTTTGCTTCCTAAAATAATTTCCTTTCACAGATGCTTCACTTGGGTTTACCTAGTTTCTATTTGTAGGCTCTTCATGGTAAGGAGGCATGGTGAAGATGGAATTTTCATTTTGGAACATTATGCTCTGTGGTTTCTTTTTTTCTCTTTTGCTGAGCAGATTTAGTTTCAAATGACTGGTTTTTCATATTTGTCTACAGAATCTTCTTTAAATAAATAGAAGCTAGTAGATATCAAGGCCAGTCAAAATCAATATTTAGGTAATCTTTTCTGTTAACACATAAGTTTTTTGTTTTTTTTTTTAAAGGTTTTATTTATTTGACAGAGAGACAGCGAGAGAAGGAACACAGGCAGGGGGAGTGGGAGAGAGAGAAGCAGGCTTCCCGCGGAGCAGGGAGCCCGATGCGGGGCTCGATCCCAGGACCCTGGGATCATGACCTGAGCCGAAGGCAGACGCTTAACAACTGAGCCACCCAGGCGCCCCAACACATAAGTTTTTATTTTTTAACATTTGGTTCCTAAGTCTTCTAGAGTTGATGATTCTCCAGAAAAGGACAAAAGAATTTTCTTTAGGTGTTTGAAATGATTGAAGAAGAAATACCACATTCTGAATTTATGTGGGTTACTGGCAGTTGCTGTATATAGAATAATAGGACACGTTCCAGTGTCTTTTAGAAATACTTTAAAAAAAATAATGATTTATGTTTCAGTACTGATTTGGGATCTAGAAATATTTGAGTTTCTTTAGTTTTGTAAGCTTTGTGGTTCATTTCTTTTTTTTTTAAAGATTTTATTTATTTATTTGACAGAGACACAGTGAGAGAGGGAACACAAGCAGGGGGAGTGGGAGAGGGAGAAGCAGGCCTCCTGTGGAGCAGGGAGCCCGATGTGAGGCTCGAACCCAGAACCCTGGGATCATGACCCGAGCCAAAGGTAGATGCTTAACGACTGAGCCACCCAGGCGCCCCTGTGGTTCATTTCTTACAGTCATTTCTCTGCCCAGGGTTCCTTTCCTCTGATAGATGAGTACTCTGTTCTTTGAAACTAGTACTTAATACAGACTTTTTTTTTCCTTTTTACAGATGAAACTCTTCTAATTAATATGATCTGTGGGGTAGTGTCAGGAGTGATATCTTCCACTATAGCCAACCCCACTGATGTACTAAAGGTAAGAGAGGTCTGGTAGCATTGGATGTATACAAAGTGTTATGAAAAGAGCATGAACTTTGAGTCAGATTTGGGTTTATTTTTTTTTTAAAGATTTTATTATTTATTTGGCAGAGAGAGACACAGC